ACCACAGAGTCACCGCAGTAGACGTTAGATGAGCGCTGTCGCTATGCGGCACTTGTTACTGAAAATTGATTTCATCTTAATTTTCTGGTGCCTTGGTCAAACGTTAGACATCTATAGTGTCTGATTGATCGCACTTCTAGTGGTGTTCTGAACTGTACTATAGGTTATAAAGTCGAAACGATTCCGTGCTGGAAAGGGAAAGATGAGGAACAGACGACGTGTGAAGAAGCGAGGCCCACTAATTATTTACAACAAAGATAATGGCTTGAGGAGGGCTTTCAGAAATATTCCAGGTAAGTGTTCTCTAATTGTCGACAGGGCCTTCTAACGCTATGTCGTGTCCGACGATTCTTCTCAGTTGAAGCTAATTTGCGACATCCCATAATTCCTCTGGTATATATAATTATATACTTTAAATTTCTGCTGTGTTTAATTTTGACAATCCTGACACGGTCTTTCTGTTTTCACAGCTTGTTTCCAAACTAATAGTGTTTATCTTTGTGTTCGGGTCACTAGTGACACGTGTAATTTATTGAGTGCAATTAGCAACCGGGTAAGAATAATTTGGATCTCCGACATGCCTGCTGAAGTTCGTAGGGAGGACCCTAAAAGTAGATACTGTCATGAGTAGTGTTGAAAAACTCTAGCTCCTGTGCATTTTTTCCATTTTTTCAATGTGTAAATTGACAGGTTTGTTTCGAGAGATGTGAGCGTAGTTGATTTAGAGAATTTTTGAGAGCAGACAGGAGTAACAATTTTGTTGTTGTTGTTGTAGGTATCACACTTATCAATGTCAGCCAGTTGAACCTGATGAAGGTTGCTCCTGGTGGACATGTAGGTAGGTTTTGCATTTGGACAGAGGGTGCTTTCCGCAAACTAGATCCCTTGTACGGCACATGGAGAAAGGAGTCTAGGATAAAGAAAGCATACAAGTAGGTTGAACGCAATGTTGCGATGTGAATGATAGGAATGCGCTTTACATTTTGGTATACTCTATATCATGGTTCGCACAGTCCTTGAATTTGAGGGGTGTCCTTGAAATGTACTTGAATTTAGTAAATGTTGATTTTGTGCTTGAAAAGTCCTTGAATTTCATGAAAATGTCCTTGAATTTAGTAAATGTTGATTTTGTGCTTGAAAAGTCCTTGAATTTCATGAAAATGTCCTTGAATTTTTAGAAAGAATCCATGCCTGTAATAAAAAGAAATTTTGTACTATCAATAATGTGCAAACCTCAATAAAAATTGCGTTAAATGAGCTTAAAAAGCTATAGACACAATAGACAGTTAAATGATGATCACAAATTACAGTAAGTCACTAAAATCAGTCAGTAAATCAAGGTATGTTGTAGAGGTGACAGTGTTTAGAAGGGTTTATTAATGTGATCTAGGTAAGTTTTAGAGGTGACAATGATTAAGAATGGGGTTATTATTAAATTAATCCAGGTATGTTTTGTTCTGTGTATGAATTCCGATAAAATGTCCTTGAAAAGTCCTTGAAACATTTTTCAGTCCTTCTGTATGAACCATGTATATAGATAATGCATATCCATAAGTGTATTGGTAATAATGTGCTAGTCTCTTAGAATTCAACTTTATTCATATTATATGATGTCATGATAGTCTTGTGGTCTTTGCCATTAAATTTACAGATTTTACTTGCAGGAAAACCTCTAGTGCACTTCTGCAATGCAATGAGCATCTGAATGATTTGTTTAATCAGTGTTTAATAAACTCCTGGTATTTTATTTATTTTATTCGTTTTCATATTATCTTATGTTATCATTTAATTTTTCAGTCTCCCAATGCCAAAAATGACAAACAGTGATCTATCTAGAATATTGAAGAGTGAAGAGATACAGTCAGCCGTGAAACCACCTAAGTAAGTTATGAAATAGTGAACTATTGCATGTTTTTATTCTTTTGATATTGATGTTTGCAGAAATATATATAGTTAAGCCTTTTGCAAGTGATCGTTATACACTGGCGCTGCCTCTAATGATGAACAGCTTAATTTCGCCATATGATTGAACAGTGAAATCAATCATCCGTTCTTTACTGAGGAGGCTGTATGCATCTCAAGAATAAATATGTAGTAGTACAAATGGTTATTGAAACTTTAACTTGTTATATATCATTGCAGGAAATCATAATACAAAACTATATCCTATTAGCTAACATCTAAGTCAGTCTGTTAATTCTGAACCTGAGGGCATGTAAAAGTACAACAAACGTCAGTCGAACAAAAATTGTGGCAAAATTTATTTTTGACTGGTTTGGAGGGATTGTACTAATTCCAATATGATTGCCACTTGCACCAAATATCTATATATCTATATATATATATTTATATATATATATATACAGTGTAGCCCTGTTATAACACGATGGTTGTGGTCCATAAAATGTCATCGCGAAAAAAGCGGGGTCGCACTAAATCGGGTTTATATGTACGTGGCTATATAAGAGCAAAAAAGGGGGTCCAACGACTCATCGCGTAAAATCGGGGTTCCACTGTGTATATATATAATATATAGACATATATCGTCTAACAACTTTTACAGCAAAGTCATTAAACGATTCACAATGAAGAAGAACCCGTTGAAGAATCTACGCACAATGCTGCGTCTCAACCCGTACGCTGCTGTACAGAAGAGGTCTGACCATCTGAACACAGAGAAGCGCATCAAGGCAAAGCAGGCCATTCTTGACAAGAAGCGTGGTGTAAGTAACAGACGACTGTATTTCGATTCCCTATTTTATTAACGTGGAAATCTCGCACCACAACTTGACTTATTCCGTGATGTATGGTCGCGTTTTAGATGTGTGGATGATGTTTGTATGTTAGAACGTCAAAAGGTGCGTAGGAGACATGAAGATTTTGTTAGCAAAGCCAGTGAAGGGCTTTCTATTCAATGCATGTGTGTATAGTAAGGTATTTGTAGGCAAAGATATGATGGAAATCTATGGTCCGTGTTATTGATATTACATGATAAGAAAATATAACCATATCTGATCTTTGCTATATTATTCATTACTGCATTTACATATAAACCCATTAATTACTTTTAGTTGTCTGTGCCAGTTGTAAAAATCCCTTTGCTTGTTATTGTAGATTGTCCCGAAAGCAGCTCCTGCCCCTAAAAAGGCAGCGGCGCCCAAGAAGGCGAAAAAGGGAAAGTCGGCTAAGTAAACGGCCCATTAGGCAAACTCAGTGGATTATGCTGTTAATTGCTGTAATACCCTTCTTTGTTGGTTGAATAAACCACAATGCTGAATGTAGATGTTCCTTTTTGGCATTTTGTTGTTGTTTACTGTTAACGTGCATAAAATTGAATACTTGATGTGGTCAGCTTATGGATATGGAGTAAAAGTGGTAAGTACTACACTACGTTTGTATCTCACAATTACGTACTTTTCATCAATTGAGGCGATGGGGGAAGGGAGGTTACGAGAGTTCATATTTGATAGCTTGTGTAGGGTAATATATACTGCTTTCCAGACTAGTATGTATAAGTAATTTAACTTGAGAATTTTATATTTTTTATCCTGAAAATTATTGTAAACGTGATGCAAATGTGTCTGTTATTGATTGTATCAGGAGTCTATGTTGTATGATAAAACTATATCGTGTGTGATCTTTCCCATCACTGGAAATTGATGTATACGCAACTGTCACGGGGGATTAACTTTATTGCGTTTTGTTTGGATTTTCGTTGCATTTCAGCGTAGAAGAGTATGCCAGCTACAATAATCTTGGCAAAGACTACAGACAGATGTGAATGTTAGGAGATACTTGCTATGTTGGTCATAAGTAAGTTCTTAATAACTGGAGGTTAAGCCAGTGGTGTAGAGTGGTCTCACTATTAGTTACTGTTTGTCATGCAAGGATATGATGGAAATTCATGGTCCGTGTTATTGATATTATATGATAAGTCTATATAACCATATCTGATCTTTGCAATCATTGGCGGAATAGTGCGTGTCGAAAGCTGCGTGACTAGCATCTTGAGAGGTTGCTTGAATGTGATTTTCATTTTTATTTAAAGGTCCGAAGTGTAAAGATGACTGCTAAAGATAAATCACTGCTGCATTACATAGCAGTGGTGCTGTGGTACTGAGTGGAAAGGTATATTTTGTATGAACTGGTAGCTTATCATGAAAGCAATAGTACGGCTAGATTGTGCACTGAAACTGCCTCTGATGATGAACACATTAATTTCGCCATATGATTCAACTATGAAATCAACCATCCGTTCTTTACTGAGGAGGCTGATTATATGTACTGGTTTATACAATTACTAGTACCTAGATAAAAATCAGTTTTCTCCTTATTACAGGAATCCTTGCAAACCTGTGTGTGATAATAATGGAGAACACTATATGTCAGAGCCACAACTGAGGGATTTTGCAATGACCAGTGAGTCAGTTTGTCGTATAGAAATCTTCCTGATATACTTCTCATTCTTATTTTATACTACTATTCATTTCAATTTCAAGTTGAGCCAAACAACATTTCATGCATGTCTCATGCTATGTCTACCCTTCTTAATGTTATGTTAAATACTTCTGTTACTTACTAACTACTAATACAGAATTTACAAAGAAGTGCTAATGCTAAGTGCAGTCATGCTTTAAAAATAACACAGAGGATGCTTTCGGAACAGATTGTTGTTGAACATTATACAAATCTGTCATTTTTAAGCATTCAAGGTTTCAACATGAGCACTAAGTGGAGAGGGATTTCCTGTAGTTGCTTATCAACCATAAAAGTGAGTTTCTAAGGATGCTTAAAAACAGTGTTATAATGTGAATGTTCTTCTGTTACTACCATATTGTGTGTTACATATGAAGAACCTTTTTGCAAAGACATGATGTAAATCTATGGTCCGTGTTATTGAAATAATATGATAAAACAATTAACCATATCTGATCTTTGATTTCACTTACAAACTTTCTCATAGTATTATGTATATAAATTATGATGTATGTATGACAATTTCTATCTGTCATTTTTAAGCATCCAAGGGATCAACGTGACCACAAAGTGGAGAACGATTTCCTGTAGTTGCTTATCAACCATAAAAGTGAGTTTCTAGGATGCTTAAGGACAGTGTTATAATGTGAATGTTCTTTTGTTATCACCACATTGTACATTACTATGAAAAAACTACTAGCAAAGACGTGATGTAAATATATGGTCCGTGTTATTGAAATAGTATGATAAAACAGTATAACCATATCTGATCTTTGCTTTCACTTAAAAACTCTTCTAAAACTGTGTATATAAATTCATTCCTTTGACCATTTTGTATGAATTTCATTATTTGAAGGATCGAAAATGGAAAGTGGCCACAACTACTCCCCTTCCTGCATTAGAGACAGTTGCAGCTGTCTGAATGGATATGTTATATTGGCCATCCAAGTAAGTCTTAATATGTTTATGTTGTAGGGATTGTAATGTCCTTACCATTCATTGGGTGTAAAATATAGTTATTAATATATATAAAATAGTATACAATAAGTATAAAAATGGGTTTGTGTGTGTAATAAAAACCTGTTCAAAGATATGATGACCACTTATAGACCGGTTTTGTTGATATTACATGATAAAACAACCCTATCTGATTACTTTACTTTCACTTAAAAACTCTTAAAACTGTATATAAATTCATTCCTTTGACCATTTCGTATGAATTTCATTATTTGAAGGATCGAAAATGGAAAGTGGCCACAACTACTTCCCTTCCCACATTAGAGAAGAATGGATATGTTATATCAGCCATCCAAGTAAGCCTTAATATGTTTATGTTGTAGGGGTTGTAATGTCTTGCGATTTCATTGGTTGTAAATATAGTTAATATTTATAATGTATATAAAATAGTATACAATATAAGTATAAAAATGGGTTTGTGTGCAATAAAAACTGTTGCAAAGATGTGACGGAAATCTATGGTCCGTGTTATTGATATGACGTGATAAGAAAATATAACAATATCTGATCTTTGCTGTCATAAACTGTTTATTTGCCTGAATCCATTTTGTGACTGTTTGAATCATGGTCATCTTTTCTATTTCAAGTGTCTGGAACAGGATTACTGAAGGCTGAAGTGCTACTGGTTATAATGCTAATCATGTAAGTTCTTAAAAAAAGTTATCACATTCAAAAACATAAATGCTGGTGTAACATAACATATTAATGGGATATATATAAAAACGAATAATTAACTTTAGTTTTACGATGCACTAAACTGAATGTTTCTTGTATACGACAGTCGGGAATGTCATGTAACTGTGGCCCAGCCTCTAATGATGAAGAAAATAATTTCGCCATATGAATGAACTGTGAAATCAATCATCCGTTCTTTACTGAGGAGGCTTATGAGCATGCGCCATACATGTTATCTATTACCTTGATGGGTGAATGAATTTCCCAACTGATGTTCTTGCCTTGAAGGTTTACAAAAAAATACCGTGCATGAAAATCTGTCATGGGATTGCTCTCCATTTCAGATTGAGCTGCGAGGTGTAGCTCTTCAAGCCAGCAGAATCGGAAAGTACAACAATGATGGCAATTGCGCTAATGTGGTCAGCATGTACTGCCTTACTTGTCTTGCTGACTGTTGGAATCCATGGCCTTTGTCTGCCTCTTCATCCAGTTAATGTATTGGTAGTACTTCAGAGGGTAATTGCCTCGTGTTGATTGTATCGTTTCCTTATCCTGTTATCTATGTTAGACAATAATAAATAGCTGCATCGAAGAGATCATGTAAATGTAATTGAGCATAAATGCTTGCGCAAACATGTAAGAAAATTACAGTGGGAAACAATTGAAATTAAACAATAAGGCAACGAATGAGCCTAGTAAGGCATTGGCTCTTGGAAAATGACATTGTTGTGTGTCTGTTACGTTTGTTGATTATTGTAATAAATGTATTACTGTGATCGTGTCTATACATGTTTTTGCTTTTGACTTGTTAGCAATAGTAGTAAAACAACGCAGACCTTAGGCTTAGCCAATCAATATAAACTTTTTTAGGTTATATAATATATACTGCTTGTAAGCACTTAGTGATTTCTACAGTCCAAACTGGAACGGGCTTGAATAAGAAGACGTCAACATCACAATGGCGTGCATCTATTGGCAGTGCGTAGAATGTGATTATTTACTATTTAGTAACCTTTTATTCGATATCGGTTATCTTAAAAGCTATCCTCGCAAACAATACAAGATTGTAAGATTATATCAAGAGTGAATAATAATAGATTTATAATATTTAATTAATCTATTATTATTCACTCCTGATTATATCATAAGTAGAGAATAGGTTATCTGTAGGTTATGTCTAAAAGGTTATCTATATTATTTCTATGGGATTTTCTGACCTCGTTGCGCCATCTATTGTGAGTATTATATCAAATTCTATTGTCTCAATGTAATGTGAGAGAATATACCCGTCGGCTTATTATATAATTTTATGTCTATTCGTTACCTTCCAAAACAGAGTATGCACTATGATCCAAACTTTTTTTACACACGCGGCCTCTGCCCCTTTCCCAGAAAATAGTTTTTACCCCGTCAATAATGCGCACACCAACCGCAATATAGGTTACAGGTACCATAAAAAAGCACAGGCAACGTCGGGTCTATCAGCAGTAGCATTGAGAGCACAATTATTAAAATTGCTAATTATTTTCCCAACCGGATGCAAGACTAATGTTACTACACTGACAGACCGTCTCCTGTAACGGTGACATGAACGGTAAACATGCAATGGTAAAATAGATATACAAATTAGTGAGTCTGTGTGCACGGTGAGCTAATCGGAAGCCAAATTTAATACCAGAGAGCCAGCAACATACTATTAATAAAGGACAATGCAGGTCACCATCTGGAATTAATATTGAATTGATCTCTCAGAAGAAATTAGTAATTAATACTCAATCCCTCGTAAATGAATGTAATGCCTGTTATTAAATCTATTCATGTGTATGTAACCTAGGTGGCAAAAACGGAATTCTATCGATAAAGGGATCTTAAAGTATACAGAACCCTCTTACTTTTTTATCTGATTTATGAATAGAAGCTGATTAGATTAGCCGATAGGAGCTGATTAATAATTAAACATTGCTCCTCGGAATTACTAATCGACCTTATTTATATTCGACCTCAATGTATGAGACGTAAATTTATTACCAGTACACTTGCTATTATAGAAAATAAAAACATTATGCGACTTTCAAAAACGACCTACCCTACCTAACGTTTTTATATTTTAGGCCCAGTTTAAAATTCTACCCGAATAGGTGACTAGCATAAAAAACCATTCAGCTCAAAACAGATGTAGGACAGACATAACGACAGGATGAACATTCTGAGTAGTTTATTTAACTTCAAAATACACGCATTCAACAAAAGCTTAGTGTTATGAGTACAGCCAACCACTAAATGGCACTACTGTTCTTGTTGAACACATTTATTTACACGGTTATAATGGTAGGCTATCTTATGTGGGGAACAAGATGCATGTGTATACATTGTTATAATTTCTGCCAATACTATTGCTAAGGCATGTAGTGCACACGTACGCGTACACAAATATTTCTATTGCGCGAAGTAACAGATCGTGAAGGATGCATCTCCATCTGCACACACCCACATTTTACATAAACGTAAATACAAGATCTGTAAGGATCAGTTTAAAGCCTTGTTCACCATGAACCTATGTGTATTTATCTTACGTAATAATTTATTTAATTCAATATACACAGGTTCATGATGTTATGCATATAGCACTTCGGGTAAAATAGTTTCGTATATATGTACGCAAGCTAGCTATACATTGCTTGGGTGTCAAATACCGTGAAGACGTCATAACCAGTTATTTCAACTCTGTTTGTGACCAACTCTTCTGTGAGTCAGTAAACGCATATGGATTCAATTATTCAATTTATTTTCAATATATATACATAATATTCATGATAATATATATTATATATATATATATATATCAAGATATATATATATATTTATATATATATGCATACATATATCCTACATGAAAGGGGATAGCATTTTAGCATTCTTAGCACGGTATTGATCGATCAATTACTCTTGCAATATATATTGCGTACAATGCTGCGTACAGATTTTCCTATCACATATTCGTAGACAAGTCTGACACATCTGCACATAACAATACACATACAGATATACATATATATCTATACTATATATATGACTAGCTTCGTGTACAGATAGTATAGAGTCACGTGCCAAACTGTGTTTAAATACAATTTAATATATGTTCACTTAAACCCTCTCCTTTATTAGGGGAGTTGTAGAAAGACAAGGCACAAAATCTCATTGAACCCTGTAACTGACTGCCTCAGTTCAATTCTGGACGCGACAACCACACACACACACATACACGTACATGCCCACACATACACAGACGCGAACACCTGCATTGCATCTATGGATAGAACCTATGAACATCTGAACCTACTGCATCCCATGTTATCCTGATATCAATGTTTCCCCTGCATTGACATGAGCAAGGCGCGCTGCCTCGCTCAAATTTTCACCCGCCACACAGAACTTTGTCTAAAACACCGCCCCGCTGACGAAAATGACTGTTCTTCCTTTTTGGCCAGGGGAAACACTTAATGGTTTAATCGATATAGTTCTTGTCGGTAAAACGAAGTCCTCAATGCAGCTTGCTTAGTAAAGGAACAGGAATGAAACTTTCCATTTTAAACGATTGATGCTTACATATTACTGGCCAGCCTATTACTGTTCAGTTAAAGATACGAAAAATTAACATTAGCACATGGGCATTACTTTTATACTTTCATAAAAGTGTGTATTTCTGTGGACACCGCTAACATTACCATAGATTAGAGCACCAACATTGTAATCTATACTATGTGTCCAGAAATAAGGCAGTCCGGCATAAAGCCAGAACGAGTCTGAAATAACCAAGTTTCCATTTATTTCCAAACAATAGTTCAGACATATAATAAAATAATACAATTGCAACAGAACTAACTAGACAGAAGGCACTCAAAGAGAGTGCATACCTCCGCGAGCGTGTAACATGTATACATGTGTATAACAGCTGGCTCGCTGCTGGCTGCTGGCTGCTGCTGACTGGACGCCCTAAGGCGAGCTGGTGCTGAATCGATCGCGCCAACGCGTGTAACATGTATACATGTGTATAACACTAACAGCTGGCCCGCTGCTGGCTACACACACAAACGAACACACACACGAACACACACACAAGAGCGATTACATTACCTCCCTGCAACTCCGTTGCGCGGAGGTAATAAATGTGGCCACACTTTGGAAGAGACTCATAGTACGCAGGGATGTATATTTAGTGTCGTTAATCTCCATTAACAATCACAAAAATAAATAGGCTTCCGTACAGATGCACCAATTCGCCACCACATCATTGTTCGTCATTTATGATGTGATAGACAGATGTTGGGGGGGGGGGGGCTTGTAGGACTGGGTAACTGCCTAGAGATATAACAAAGAAAAACGCCCAGGAATTAAGTGTAAGGTGTCTTCCCTAGAGATAAACAGCCACCCTTGCCTGTAGCCTCTGAGATATAGTCATTCTCCAGTCACAGTTACTCCATGCTTGCCACCAAACTACAGTAATCAATCATAAATTAAGCAGTAGTTGCAATTTGTTCGACTTGTCTCTCTTATTTCCTTTCTCTAGATACAAAGATCTTGCCATATATGTTCACATGCACACAGATGCATGTGAAACATTAGTTATAAGTACTAATCCAGACACGTGGCCATATAGAATGAAACTGCCATGTTACTGAACAGATTGGGGAATAGGAAAATTCAATAACATGCAACACTTGTTTGGGAATGTGGCCATAGCACATGTATGTAAGTAGAAACACGTCATGCACCAATTATTTGAATACTAATCACGTGTCATCCAAAAGCTACTAATACCAACTTATGTATGTAATAATAATCTTATGTATACAGGGGTAAAAATTTACTTTTGAACAAGGGATTCCAACGGACTCCCTGCCCTCAAAAAGAGGGAGTCTGTGGCAAAATGAGGGAGTCCGCAGTCTGAAGTTCAAAATTAAAGATATTAACAATAACGCATGTGCTTATTTTGAAGATTCATGCGGTTGCACGTCTGCCAAATTTTCTTTGGGCATTTGCTGAAAAAATACGGTAATTCCACAAGACCGTGCTCTGGAACGAACTAGTTAGCATGGCAAAATATTCAGGGAGTCACACAGACTCCTGCATATATGTCAAATGAGGGAGTCCGGCAGTAAATCAGGGAGTATTTGACTCCGACCTCCCGTTAATTTCGCATCCTGTGTATATGAGCACGCATTAACTAATACCATGGGAGATATGAAATGCACTTTTATACCACGGTAGAGGTCTTTAAGTGGAGATTTCACAGTATTTATCATTCATGAATATACATGGTTCTTGCATAAAAACAAAGGTACACATACATTTATGATCTCCCATGTTGCTATCATGCTAGTAATTTTAAAGATAGCCATTCTAATTTTAATCAGAGGCACAAACTATTGCACAAGTTTCATAAAGGATAACATAACACCAGCTTTTATCATTTAATATCTTCAGTATGCTATGTTTGCTGCATGACAATCTTCACTGTTCACAGTCAATGAGAAATAACATCTTACTAAGGGACATATTAATTATTATTACTTGTGCTGCCTCAGGCCGCAGGGATGCAAGATACACTATACATACATTCAATTGCAATTCCCTTGTGATTTTTACTCATTAGGCTGATTGAAATTAATTTTGAGATTGAGGTTTCACTATTGGTTCACTATTCCTAGAGTAAAATAGTATGTACTTTAATTACTAAATACTATGTGTTGTCAGGCTATCAGTCTGTGTTGTTTGAATTAAAACCTCATTAGAGTAACTTGCAATATGACCTCTCTGGGATGATCAACTAATGACAATAATGTATATAGCCATCAATATCAATAAACAGCCATTGGAGTTACTGAAACCATGTTTTCCTTAATTGTAATTAACAGCAAGCAATAAAAGTAAGTACATAGCCTAAGTAACATCTGATTTAACTGAAAATAATAGTAAAAGCTACGATGTTTTCCTTATTCAAGTATACATGTGACTACTTCATGTACAAGTAAATAATGGTGCCTAAATCAATACATGGGAACGCAACTTTGTTCTGGAAACTTGTGAATTTAACCTTTGTACATATAGGTCAACGAGAAAAATATACTCATCTTCATCTTTATCACTATTTTCACAACTCAAAGATATCATCCTGGCCGTCCTGAGCTACTTTCCTTAGCGAGGATCGTACATGCTTCGGCGATGGCTTAATGCACAGTTCGGGATCGCGTAGATTTTCCGCCCTGCCCAGTCTGGGACTGTTGTGATGCAGTGCTGTTTTTGGCTTTCGATTCTTCTTGCTCGCGGACAACCTGCCATCATCTTCAAAGCTGAATCACAAATACAATTTTAATTTAGTTTTATCACGCGCACCATACTGACATTTTCGGTTATTCCGTTGCAACAGTGCTCACATTAAAGTTAATGAATAGAGAAAATTTCATGCTTAGGTCTAACAAATTCAATCTGCTACCACTGTTCATAAGCATAACCTATGCAAAATGCAATAGGTAACAGTAACATTTATTTGCATATATATATATGGCATGTACATGTTATACAGGGACTACAATAAAAGGAGGTTATTTTTTGCGATTTTAAACGAATGTGTTGAAGTGATTGGAAAACGTTTCTCATGGTTTACTGTTACATGATCTAATAAATGTTCGTATCCATACTCACTCTGCCCCACGTTCGAGCCGTTTGACTTTGCTCTTGATCTGTGCAGTTTCATTGTCGATTTTTCTGAGAAAGTCTGTCACACTGATTTCCTTCTCCTCTACTGCCACCTGCCTTGCTGGTGACCGCGAGTTACTCAGAATTCTGGGAGAGCCTGTCCTACATGGAGAAATGGTGCCTTCCCCAAGTCTTGCAGTACAACTCTCTTTTGCACTGTCGGAACCAGAGGGCGCTGACTGCTCCTCTCCGACAAAGTCAGACGAAGAGGACGTCGATGCCGATTCAGCATCGGCGCCGTTAGCGTTCACAAAGAAATCCATGACATCCTCTTCTTGCTTCTCGATGATGGGAATTTTTAACGTTGGATGCAAGAATAAGCTATCATTTGTCCATAATCTGTTAGCTCGCTTAAGGTGCCCCATCTGAAATATATAAAGAAAGACAGCTATGTAACAATAAGGATACATTGGAGGAGGTGTCTCCAGGGTACCAAGGTAAGATGTTTACCGATATCAAAATAAACTTTGTCCATTTTGAAGCTGTTGTAGAAATCATCGCAGTAAGGTTGACGTCAGAAGATAACACTTTTTACGTGTACATACAATGAGCCTATAAGCAGTATATTCTTATGTTTGAGCCACTAGAATTGGTTTTTTTAATACATTTAAATATGCAATAAATTACACAAATATACTTATAATTAAATTACAATAAAATAAAAAGCTGAAATCAAATTTTAATAACAAATCTCCAAGATATACGGGGAAGACTTTGGCTCTTGATCTTCGTTTGTCAACGTCTAGAAGTGATTGCACATCCCCTCATGTTCATTAGGCATGATACATTCATGAAATCATTGAGAAGCCTCCAACAAGTGCCGCGGAGCGACAGCGCTCATCTCACGTCTACTGCGGTGACTCTGTGGTGGAGTGGTGGGATTCTAGTAAACCCTGTTAGTCCCAAATTTGTTCACATACACGCCGAAACAGTGGAAGGCACAGGGATGGTATCAGGAACCTTCTCAAAGGAATGTTCGTTGGGATC